AAAAACGGATACCACGTACAAAACTCAGTCAAATCATAACATTGAACAGAAAGGCAATGTAAAGGATTTGGGTGTACTGATGTCAGAAGACCTTACATTTAAAGAACACAATCAAGAAAGCAAGAGTAACGCCAGTCCATAAAGGAGGCAATCCGGCGGACATAAACAATTATAGACCAATATCAAATCTACCCATTCTATCAAAAATATTTGAAAAAATTATTTACAAACAGCTCTATTCCTACCTCGTAAAATTCGACATACTCGGCCCCTGCCAGTTTGGCTTCCGGTCCCAAAAGAGCACCAACGATGCAATCATTAGTCTCCTTGACATTATCTACTCAGCCCTTGACAAAAATGAGTTTCCGATTGGACTCTTCATTGACCTAAGAAAAGCCTTTGATACTGTTAATCACAACTACCTCTTACTTAAACTCCAGCATTATGGAATCCGAGGCCTTGCCCTTGACTACATCCGATCCTATCTTAGTGACAGACACCAATATGTAACCATCAATGATACAACTTCTTCCACTCTACCAATTACCGTTGGAGTGCCACAGGGCAGCATCTTAGGACCTCTTCTATTTCTTATATATATAAACGATCTGCCTAATGTCTCTAATATTCTCAAACCTATATTGTTTGCTGACGATACTACCCTTATCTACCCACATACACTAAATAATGTTGTGAATAATGAATTAAAAAAAGTCCACTTATGGATGTCAACGAACAAACTAACATTAAACATCGAAAAGACTTGCTACATCTTATTTGGAAGCAAATCATCAAATGCAATTCAGCTACAGATAGACAACATTAACATCAGTAATAAAAATGATGGCAAGTTTCTTGGCCTATTCCTAGACAAGAGACTCAACTTCAGCACCCACATTCAACACATAACTAAGAAAGTCTCTAAGACAGTTGGTATACTCTCCAAAATCAGATATTATGTTCCTAACTCTGCTCTCCTCTCACTATATTATGCACTAATCTACCCCTATCTTAATTATGGTATCTGTGCATGGGGGTCTACCACTGCAAACCACCTTAAGCCCATCATCACACAGCAAAAATCTGCTATCAGAATAATAACTAACTCTGCTTTCAGACAACACTCAGCTCCCTTGTTTAAATCCCTAAACTTGCTAAATATTAACTCCCTCCACACATTCTCTTGTGTCAACTACATTTACAAAACCCTGTTCTTAAATGCAAACCATGCTCTGAAACGCTCCCTGGACAGATGTAATAGGACCCATTATCACCACACCAGAAATAAATATCTCTTTGATATCCCCAGGGTCAAACTTAATCTGTGTAAACACTCTATGCAAATTAAGGGACCTAGTCTATGGAACTCACTCCCTAGTGAATTGAAAAACTGTAAAACTTTTGCCTTATTTAAATGCAAAACCAAAAAGTACCTAACTTCATCTTCTTAGTTTCCTACACTGAGCTTTAAATTTGCTCTGTACCTAGTGTTACCCAATCTCCTAATTTTTATGTAATATCAAACAACCTTATCATTGTGTTCATTGCTGTCTTCTTTTATGTGCTAGCCATATGCTGTATTGTGACTACCAATTTTTGTCAACTACCATTCAAGCTGTCATTGCAATCAATCTTAGCTACCTATGTGCTTTAATATACTGTACCTACAATTTTCTCTCATCTTCTTTTTTTTTTTCATTTCATGTAATCTGTTATCATTTTTTGTCTATAAATTTTGCAAGTATTTACCTCCTTAAAATTTTCTTAGATTAACGACCTGCCCGAAACGCTGCGCGTGCTAGTGGCTTTACAAGACTGTAATTACCATATTTGTATCCTCACATTCCTTATGTACATTCTTGTATATGCATAAATAAATAAATAAATTAAATAAACAATAAAGTAGCCGTCACAACTGCAAGAAAAATGACAGGTTGGATAACAAGAACCTTTCACACTAGAGATGCTATACCAATGATGATACTTTTCAAGACGCTAGTGCTCTCTAGAGTCGAATACTGTTGCACAATGACAGCCCCTTTCAAAGCTGGAGAAATTGCTGACCTGGAGAGCGTGCAGAGATCCTTTACTGCTAGAATCCACTCAGTAAAACATCCAAACTATTGGGACCGACTAAAGAGCTTAAACCTGTATTCTCTTGAGCGCAGGCGGAAGAGATACGTAATAATTTACACATGGAAAATAGTAGAGGGGCTGGTTCCAAACCTGCACACAGAAATAACAGCACATGAGACCAGAAGGCATGGCAGGATGTGCAGAATACCCCCGTTGAAGAGCAGAGGTGCAACAGGTACTCTGAGAGAGAACTCTATCAATATCAGAGGCCCGAGACTGTTCAACACGCTTCTGCTACACATAAGGGGCATAACTGGCCGACCCCTCACAGTGTTCAAGAGAGAACTTGACAAACATCTCCAAAGGATACCTGATCAACCAGGCTGTGACTCATACATCAGGCTGCGAGCAGCCGCGTCCAACAGCCTGGTTGACCAGTCCAGCAACGAGGAGGCCTGGTCGACGACCAGGCCACGGGGTCGCTGAGCCCCAGAATCACCTCAAGGTAACCTAAATAAGGTAGCCATTTTGTTACTACTCTTTAATATTTAATTTATCTGGTACAATAAATGTTCGTGCACATCCCATGATGACAACAGTTGTCAAAGAAATAATTCTGATTTTTCCAGCTGCCTACATCTTCTTCTCCATCCTCTTGCTGGTAGCGATCATCTATATTATTGCTGCCTTGGTTCTTATCCACGGAGTGAGAACTGTGAGTATTGTCCAATTTCACCAACTAGTTTCTGTATTCCTGGCTCATTGTATTTGTTGTAAAAATAAAATTTTATTAAAAAATTACCAAAACTTTGGATGCTGCAATCCATTTTATTGTTATGCCCAAGATGTCTTTTAATGTCATTGCACTGATATTTGGATGGAAATTACAAAGACAATTAACCAGTGGTGTTCTTTAAATAGGCTGTCGCCTACTAAATTATTGCATACAATATAGTATGCAATAATTGTTTCCCCATACCATTACCATTTTTAAGATGGTGCAAAATTTATGTATGTCTATACTGTAATGATGTATAATTCTGAAGTTCAAATAACTTGAAAGAAAGAAAATTAGTCTTAAAATATTAGTTTATACACTATATCTACAATGGCAGATGGCAACATTGCAACCCCCATGAAGGTGGCGAGATAAAAGTGGTAGTTGTTGAGTCAATAGTTTCATCTGATCATAATATTCAGAATAGAGTTATTATTTAACAGTCTCCGTGGTGTAGTGGTAAGACACTCGCCTGGCGTTCCGCGAGCGCTATGTCATGGGTTCGTATCCTGGCCGGGGAGGATTTACTGGGCGCAATTCCTTAACTGTAGCCTCTGTTTAACGCAACAGTAAAATGTGTACTTGGATGAAAAAACGATTCTTCGCGGCGGGGGTCGTATTCCAGGGACCTGCCCGAAACGCTACGCGTACTAGTGGCTGTACAAGAATGTAACAATTCTTGTATATATCTCTCAAAATTGACATACAAAATTCATGTTCTCATGGCAGATTTGCATTCTAGGGGACTGTATTAAATATAATCTGAATAATCATTATATAGTAGTGTACATTGATAATTATATACGATGAGTTGCTTTACTGAGATGTAAACACAACTAGTGACTTCAAGATCAGATATTTAAATACATTAAACATTTTATGTAATAAATCATGATAAAAACAGTAATATTCACTTATGTTAATGAAGATGATTAGTCTTAATAATTAGTTAACAGTACAATAGTACAGTAGTTAACAGTACAACAAGCTTCTCATTACACCACCCTGCTCTCCTCCTCACGCATGGTCTCATACAACTTGATCATCAGTATTTTTTTATGTCTTTGCATTTTCTTTTGCAGAAACGACGATTTCTACTACTACCATGGGTCTTTTTCACCTTCCTGAACATGGTGATGGCATTTGCAGGTGGAATATTAACGCTCATCAACTCGCATGGATATTCTCTCCAAATTATCGTTGGCTGTATTGTGCTTAGTATATCCATTATTTGGATCTACTTCACCTGTGTTGTCTTCAGTTTCTTCCAGGCCTTACAAAATGGGGAATACTGGTGATTCCATCCTCTGCAACCTTTATATAAAGGAGTCTTGACTGTCA